GCGCGGGAGGAGGCGGGGGAGGCGAGGCCCCCGGGACCGCGAGCGGCAGCTGGGGAGGGGGCCGCGGAGCCGGAGCGCGAGCAAAACAGCTGATCTGATTTTCCTTTAAAGCGAAAGAAAATGGAAGTCGGGTAGCGGCGACTGCGGCGCTGCGGGCTGGCGGAGCGGAGCAGCGCGGCAGGTGAGACGGCGCTGGCCGCGGTGCTGCCGGCGGCGGCGAGTCGGGGCCGTGGACCAGGCAGGTGCGCGGTGCGAGCGCGGGCGCGGAGTCCTTCCGCGGCTCCGCGGCGAGGCGGGTGGGCGCAGAGGCCGGGCGGCCCTGGTGGCCGGGGCGCGGGGGTGCAGGGGGCGCGGGGGTCGTGGTCCCCGCGCGGGGCTGGCGGGCGCGTCTGCATTGCGGGCTCCGCTCTGGACCCCGCGGGCGCCGTGGTCACCGGTTCCGGCCCGGCGAGGCGCGCGTCTCCCTGGCAGGGCGCGGCGCTCCCGCTGGGTCGGGGCCGGCGTCTCCTCTGGGCCGCTTAGCTGTCCGCACTAGAACGTGATGACAGGCTTGGGGGGACCGGTCCCTCGATCCGTGGGGACGCGCCGGGGGTCCCGCGGCGCCGGCTGACTCCCAGGCACTGCCGGGCCGGGGAGCAGCGAGTGAGGCCGCTAGCGGGGCGCCCGGGCTGTGGCTGTGTGGGCCACCGCGGCCCGGCGCACCAATCCATAGCTCCGCTGGGTCTGGCTGGACAGCGGGCGAACCGTTAATGCAATTTGGCTGTGAACCCGGAGGCCTTCCCTAGTGTCCTCTCACTGGAGGGGAAAAAATTGCAAATGCTGTGCTTTCAGTGCTCCTTTAAATTTGGGAAATGTCAGTGATGTCATCATTAACAAAAACTTTCCTTCATTGGACACAACCACTGGAGTGTACCCTCCTCCCCGTGCAGCTCTGGCAGCGCTTTGAAAAGCTTTGCAATAAAATGGATTTGCCTTTGCTCTCAAACTCAACCGCCTTACACAAGGGAAAACGGTTTTTATTTTCATTTACTGGCTTGAGAATCAATAGACTTGAGAGCGGCCGAAGGAGCTTGTTAGATCCCGCTGATCTGGGAATCGCTTCCTGTCCACAGCGCAAGGATCCAGGGGAAAGTCACGCATGACACATGCTTATTGCCTTGCCTTGTGTTTCCAAATGAAAGTGAGCCAGGACCCTATCATTTTTAAAAGGTATTGTATTTGATGTGGCAAGTGATGTGTCCAGGAAAAGGTGGACAGTGTAAGCTAAATCTTTACAGGTCTTCAGGTCTCGTTCCTTCTCCGTGAACCTCCCCCATCCAGGATGCGTCTGGGAGCAGCCTGCCTGGGGAACGGTTAGCAGCTTTCCCAGGGTCCTCCTTGCTTTTCCTTTCCTTCCATAGCTTCTGTGTGTCCCACCAGCCTCCAGGACTAATTCCACACTCAAAAGGGGGCGGAGAGGGTGCAAGGACTGGAGACCTCCCTACAGCACACCACAGCTGTGGAGGAATGTCTCCCCTGAATGCGAGCTGCATGCCATCATTAGTGTTTGTGAGTGTTCCATTAGTACCGACTATTATGGGAGCAAAAGTAGCAAGTTCCCAAGACAGTCTGAATATCTACTTAAGCCTATCGTATCGAGAGGATATTCAATAAGGGACAAAAGCATTGACATTTCTGTATTTAATAATTAACGACGCCTCCTAATTGGTTAAAATAAGGATGCCTTAAATCATTAGTGTGGTCCTGTTGGGTCTGTAAAGAATGTAATACCACACACTACACAGAAGTTGAGTCTGGTCAGGAACATGAAGCTTCCGAGTCCCGGATGGGTATGAAGCAAATGGAGGAGCAGGGGTTTGCTGTCGGTTCTTAATGTTCGGGGTGGCCATGGAAGCCATTGCTTTATCGAGTCTTGCCAGGTGTGGGCCTCAGCCTGGACCCTGCGTGGCAGGGGTCCCCGGAGGAAGTGACTGCGGAGGCCTGCGGCCCTGGTGGAGGCCAGCCCTGGAGTTGTGGAGGTGCTGAACCATCTGTTCTCACCTTGTGCACCTCCCTCCCGGGCAAGCAGTGTGAGCATGGCGCCTCACTCCTGAAGGTGCCAAATTTACTCATAACGGCAAGGCTGGATGAGGCAGGAAGCTTGTACCAGAATTGTCTCCAATGCGCATCTTTCAGTGACTTTGCCCCACTGGGTGTAGTTGCTTTAGAACTTAAGCTCTTACATCAGGGCTGAGATTTTTCTACAACTGATGTTTCTTACATCAGGGCTGAGATTTTTCTACAACTGATGTTTCTTACATCAGGGCTGAGATTTTTCAATTGTATGAAGATTGGTTTTTAAAGGCTCTGGGCTGTGGACCCTTTAGAAATTTAGTCTGTGAAACCACCCTGGCGACACAGCCTTTTTTTTTTCACCTGTAGCCTTGTGAAAATATTCACCATAATGTTTCTTACTTAACTCGCTGTTAGCACTTGTGAAAATACAAATGCAAGTGTTTCCACTACATCTTTAGATGTCCCTCACTAATTTCCTAAAAGATTTCAAAAGCAATCACTTTAAAGCCTCTTCATCCCCTTTTTACGCTTAAAGTATCGTGTCTTCTGTTTCTAAGAAGCCAAAATCGCCTTGGCTTCCCCTTTTGTTCCCTTTGGATCTTAAGGTCATGCATTCCTGTCTTAGGCCTGGAGAAGAAAGGCTGAGTCAGCTCCCGCGGGGCCAGCAGGGGGCGTGCTAAACGCGGCTGGCGAGCCTCCACCTGAGCCACCTTTTGAGAGGATCTCCACTTTGGGGGGAGTGTGTGTGCGCGCAGCGCCTGGTGTGTGTGCCTGTCGCTCAAGGGATGGAAACTGAAGGAAGGGCGGGCACATACTTGAATAGCCAGAGGTGGTGTGGTGGCTTCTAGAATGTGGGCCTCCCTGGATGAGGCAGGGACATTGCTCTAATGGCTCCATATCTTGGGAGAGTGGCGGTTGGTTCCAGTCTAAAGATTCAGTGCCTTCCCAGACTGCGGAAGCGGGAGTGTTGGCTTGGGGAGGAGTGAGTTGGCTGGTAGGACGGAACCCTGGTCCTGGTGAGGGCATGATGGTGCCAGGCAGGTTAGCCAGTGGAGAGTCGCCCAAGTCCCAGTACCGTTTTATCTTGGGTTTGACGCCCATTGAGGAAACCCCCTGTGTCTGTCAGTGGCCTCTCCTGGGGCTTGATTTGCCTGCCTTGCCAGGATGATTGGCCTCAGGGTTTCTCTGATGGAGAAAAGCAAATGTTTAATCACTGTACGTTTCTTTGTTCATAGAACATAAAAACAGGAGCAAAGAGGCAACTGTGCTTTTCACTTAAATGTACTTAACCTGACTTTAGTGTGTGGCAGGTTATTCACCAGCAAGTGCCCTGTGAGGCTGCTTCTGGCAGACACTGAGCCTGGAGCCGGGAGGTCCTGCATGGATGGTCACCTTGGGAGCGGGATGGGTGTTTCCCAGGCGTGGGTGATCACTGCCAAATCTAAATATGGTACCGAAAAGCAAATTCCTCTCTTCCCCCATGGAGCTCCCATGCAAAAGGGAACCGTCACACCTTGAAGGAACAGTTTCTTCTACTAGAGAACTATCCAAATGCTGTGACTCTCTTTTTACTTCTTATTCCATCAGAAATTCATGTAAAAACCCAATTATTGATTTCAAAGGGGCAAATAGGAAAAGTGCGTTTTTCAGCTTCAAGCTGAGCCAGGTTCTTTACTTCAAATGGTGACAGAGGGAAGTGCCACTAGATTAAAAAAACAAGGCAGGTGGCACCTGGTCCTTTCAGATGTCCATCCTGAGGATGACCCTAGAATTTCCTCCTCAAAGGGAGCCCTGAGATCACAGGCATGGGAATGGAAACACAATTTTCTGGCTCCTTTTTGTAATCCATCTAATTGGAAAATATTTCACCCTTGACACTTGCAAGTGGAGTTTTATTTGTCCCTGGTTACTGCTGCAATCCCAAGCAAAGTGTGTGTCAGACCAAGAATAAGATGGCCCTATCACACACTGACATAGCAGGCAAGAGAGGTGCCACCTTCACCACTTTTGGGACAGGGTTCCTTTTATTAAAAAAAATTTTTATTGGGGTACAGTGTGTTTTCCAGGACTTATCAGCTCCAAGTCAAGTAGTTGTTTCAATCTAGTTGTGGAGGGTGCAGCCATTGGCCCATGTGGGAATTGAACCAGCAACCTTGGTGTTATGAGCACTGCACTCTAACCAACTGAGGTAACCGGCCGCCCCAGGCGGGGTGCCCTATCATTCACAGTGGTGGACTGGAGAAGAGGGTTGAAAATTAGTCTTTAAGTTCTGAAATTGAGAGGTGGACTAGATGCTGCGTTATTACCTGCCCACTTTGTGGAGACGCGTTTAGCTGGCTGGTTTGCACATGGCATCTCTTGACCAGGAGATGGGGGCAGAAAGTCCCCAGACTTTCTGAGGAGGTCGTAGACCCTGCATTTCCTCCTGCTTCAGCCACAGTTGGCCACTCATGACAAGACATGGTCTGCTCATGCTGTAGGCTCCTTGTGGGAACACGAGAGCGTTAGCGAGCTTCTCATGTCACCAAGGCCTGACCTAGTAGTATCACGTGATTCCATGAAATGCCAGTCCTTGCTGTTCCAGGGTCCTGCTGCCCACCTTCTCACCTTCTGAGAAGTCAAAAGTCCATCAGTGCTCAGGCACATTCTAGATACATGGCTCTTGCTTTAAGCAGGTAAGTTGTAAGTAAACTCATTTTCTGAATTGGAAGGATTTTGAATCTGTTCTTCCAACGATATGTTTTCTGTTTGAGCTGAGTTCACTCTTAATAGCTTCCCTTATAAATATAATGGGAATTTGATGTCTGAATGAATATACGTGAGTAAGATGCTGTATTGACTTTTATGGAATAGAAAATGAGACCTTTGAAATTCATTCCGTTTTCTTCTCTGCGTTTCATTCAGTTGTTTTGTTTGATGATGGCCATTCCATGGGGTGCTAAGGATTGGTGTGAACAGACCAGCCGCCAGCCCTAGGTGAGATGGGCATGGCTTAGTTCCTGGGCCGAGTTTCGGAGCTCACCTCAGAGACCGCTGTGTGGGGCTGGCAGCTGTCCCAGTGCTGCCTGCCAGCTTGAGCCGTGGCACCTCTGAGAAGACCCGGCTGTGCGCACACAGCCCCGATGC